GCAACACCGCACGAGAACTAATTGAAGCCTGAACCTCGGATAAAAAGTCAGTCAGCCAGTACACTCAGCTGGCGCCCGTCTACATCACTCTCCGCAGGCATATACGCACGACCGAAACCGGCAATTAATGAGTCTCCCCGAAAACTCTTCCTCACCCCTATCCCTCGCTTCTCTACGTCCTCTCCCCTTCCCCTATAACAGTTGATTGGTCCTTGCCCTTTTTAACTGTTTCCCCCTTTTCGTTGGCAATTTATCTCTGACGATGGACTCCCGCAAGAACCCGAAAGCTCAGAAGAATAAAATAACGACTACAGTGATTGCAGCAACTTGTTCTCCTAGTATTCTGCATCACATGTTGCGGTGCCTAGCAGTTAATTGAGCCCTAGTTAAGCGGTTCTTGAGATGACAACTATTATTCAAACAGTTGCCGTGTCTGACACCCCCGCGCGTGATATGACAGCTCACCTGCGTGTCGTTCTCTGCGCATTAATGTGCACTGGCTTTAGCGTGCTGGCCTGGCGGAGGGCGTACAGGTCTTCGCCGTATCAGGTTGTCGACGCTGGAGACTAAGGTGTGCGTGGGGCCTAACTCACATGATCATGAGACGATCGAATAAACCTTGAGTCAGGCAGACTCTCAGCTTCGTCGCTGAGGGTTCAGTCGTGACTCGAAGATAGCTCATCCTACTTTTGTGGCGGTCCTGGTGTTGGCGCCACTGTCGCTGACTCATCTTGCCTTCGCCGGCCAAGCTTTCATTTGCGTTGACTGACTGTATCTCGCTCCTTGTCGAACCACCCACAGTGACTGCCCCTCGTCTGTCATTCAGCATTTGTGTATCTAGTCCAGTAGGGGACAAATCAATTCATCTGACTTCTGAACATTTTCCCAATCAAGAACGGCTCAATTAAATGTAAATAACAGCTGAATGTCTAGGGGATCTAGACAGTACAGCCTACACGAACAGACTCTCCGCAAGCGGACCGCATAAACCATTTCCGCCGTCGCGATCGATGAGATGTAGCAAGCACCGGTCGCAAGTCG